TCACCTCTAATTAGATTCGGCGTAGAATCGGCACCGAATTGTTATTAGGGTATCACTCACTAGCCATACCTCATCGCAGTTTGAAAAAAATAATTCCCCATAGTTCGTGCTCCTATTTTAACACATAAAGCGGCACATAGCTTAGAATTCTGGACGGGAGGAGAGAAATCCGTGTTTCTCTGAGAATCTACAAATTACAAAGCTGAAGAGTTTCCTCGAATTAGCTCAAAATTAGGATATATGCACATTACTTTACACCGTCTCAAATGTCCTCTCCAGCTTATAATAAAGCATTTGCTATGCGCCCAAAAGAGTACAAGTCGGTGTTGCGATCAAAATATTCTGAAATGTTTCGGCAAATGAAAGTTTCTAACAACGAGCAGTATAGGTTATGAAGGGAAACTCATCCAGTGTAAATGAACAAAGATCTTGAGCTGGCTTTCTGATGGGAAAAAAACGCGCCATTTGAAGTCTTATGGAACAAGGGAAACAACATTACCAAAAGGACATACTCTAGAGGAACGCTCTTAAAGTGGTCAGTGAAGTTCTCATCATTGAACGTGAGCTTGATGTCGAAAAAGAGGATGTTTTCGCTGCCCGATGGAAACCCAACCAGGATACGAATCTCCGGATCGGCGGATACGACAACAGCATTGCGGGTGGAGAGTAGGCTGAGATCGTACTTGAAGAAGGGGGGTTTTACATGAGCAAAGGACTCAAATTCCTAGAAATTTGGGAAAGCAGACAATGGCATTTTGTTTAATCGAGGTAGTATATTCCTATACATTTAAATTAAAGTTAAAACCCCATTCCATCTGGGGCCTACAAACAAACAGCAAAGAAATGAAGGCTAGGTATTTTGAATAGCAATTATGGGTAGGAATTGCTATTACGCTTCCCTTTCCCGAGATATAGACGGGTGTCTGTAAATTAACAGTGAAATTAGGACAACCGTTTGATTTAAGTATAGGGGTATGGGCAAGACTAAGATGAAGGTTGGGGTTTAGGTTTAAGTTAGTGCTAGGGTTGGGACACGAGCATATTTAAATCTCTTGCCATTGCGCTTAGGGCCACCTATATCCTTAACTGCGTCCAGTCGGGGACAGGGAGGGCACATTAGCGAATATGACTGAAGGTAAACAGGACAGGGGGTTAAGAAATCACTCTTCGTTCGATCAAATTAACGAGTACAGTGGAGTCCGGTTAATGTGGACACCTCCGTTCCAGGCCAACTG